AACCCCCCCCGCCCTGAAAAAAAAAAAAAAAAAAAAAAAAAAAATGAGGAGGAACCCAATAGAGGGATGTGTTTGGAAGCCCTTGTCAATAAATTCCAATGGATTCTCATATGAACATTTGAAAATTGCCCTATTCTGACTTTTTTCTAGTTCCCTGTCTAGAACTTGTAATGCTAATTACTCTTGATTTTAATTCTACTTCATATCTCCTATTCATGATTCAAGGACTTTCTTTTCCTCCCCAAGACAAGAGTTATGCAATTTTGGAGTCTTTTAGATAGACCCACTGAAGGGGCACTCCAATTTCCTCACCCTGCATCCCTGTTCAGCATGGAAGAAGCCAGAGCAGTCTGCATCCCGATTCCCTATTGGCAATTTGGGTAACCTCTTCAGAGGATGGCATGATAAGAATAGGAAGTAGGAATTGTCTAGGCAGTTAGGGTAAAAAGACACCGAAGAAATGTAGCCAGTTTCTTGGCTAAAACTCACAATGTCCTTGGGCCTCTTAGCAACACGCTCCATTCCAAAGGCCAAAAATGTAGAAAATATTTGGGAGCTTTTATCTAATCCTTAAAAGATTTTAGGGTTACCTCTTCAGAGGGGGGAATGTTAGAGTAGCCAAAAGCCCCATAGGAAAAACAAATAAATCAAAGAAGAAAGAGTACATAAAGTTATCAGAAAAAAGTGATGGGGAGATATGGGAGGAGTTGGAAGGGAGTGGGAATGGATTTGATCAAAACACCTTATATGCATGTATGAAATTCTCAATAAATTATTTACTTAAGAAAAAAATCTAAGGTGAGGGAACAACACCCTGATGACTTGTGTAAACCCTTGCCCTTTGAACTCACAGTGTTTTCCATTAGAACACATGAGAAACAGCTGACAGTGACACCTTCACAGAGGGCAACTTACAATTAGAAACTCAGAGGTTGGGAGATGGGGTGTGAGGGAGCCGTGGTTTCACTGTGTACCCCACTGTATCTTTCAAAATTTGTTCCCTGTACATGTGAAATATCGTCAAGAATTACCCAGTCAAGAATGCATCTGATAGATGGCAATTGAAAATAATCTCCCATCTGAAAAAAAAAAAAAGATTTGTCACATTCCTTACATTTGTAAGTCTTCTCTCCAGAATGGATCCTGTGATGCTCTTTAATACTTCACAACCACTTAAAGGATTTGCCACACTCTTTGCATTTGTAGGATTTCTCTTCCATATGAATTCTCTGATGTGACAAGATATGATCATGAGACAAAGGATTTGCCATATTCCTTACATTTGTAAGGTCTCTCTCCAGTATGAATTTTCTGATGTTTTTTTTGGGACTTGAGCAAAAAGTAAAAAAGTTTGGCACATTCATGACATTTGTAAGACTTCTCTCCAGTATGAATTCTGTAATGGCATCTAAGTTCAGGCAAATGACAAAAGGACCTCCCACACTCTTTGCATTTGTAAGGTTTCTTTCCAGGAAGGTTTTTTTTAATGGCTTCCAAGTGTTGAGAAATGATGAATTTCGAATTGCAACATTCATTTAATTCATAGGATTTTTCTCCAGTACGAGTTTTTGGATGTTCAGCAGGATTTGAGCATTTTCCACATTTCTTACATTTATGTCATTTCTCTCTAGTATGGCTGCTTTGATGGACAACTTTATAAGTAAAGCCAAAAGATGTATCACATTCTTTATAGTCTTCTTCTTTCTTTCCAGAGTTGATTCTAAGATTTTGACTAATATCAGAATAGAATTTTAAAGATTTGTCACAGTCTTTACATTTGCAAGGTTCTTTTCCAGTGTGCAATATATTGTGTCTATTTAGGTATAATGGTTCAACTGAGGCATTCTTGTGATTAGCACATCTGAAATTGTTACATTTTTTAGTTGTATTACATATTTTATCAAATGTATGTTGAAAAGACACATAGAATATTTGGCCACCATCATTACATTTATTTGTAATACTTCTCATCAATATTCAGGTGGTAATGGACAACATACTGTGAACATTGATCCAAGACTTTCTCATTTTTATCACATGTGCAATGTTTCTCTAGAAAATAAGTTCAATTAGAATCAATAGGGTTTGATCCACCAATAAACAAAATCCATAACGCATTTTCTTACGTGCTCTCTGAGATACACTGTTAATTACTCAGAATAGAGATGCCAGTAATGGCATTTCATCATTCACCATAATTGTGTAAATTCTCTCAAAAGCCTACAGTCTTAAGTATTCATAACAGCCTTCTCATTCTCATGTAAATTCTGAAAAGTGGCACAACATGGAAACAATATGATGCAAAATCCTGGACCCAGGAAAAAGGAATTCTGATTCATCATATGTAGAATGTCTTTCCCTTATAAATCTTTTTCTCCAGACATGATAAAGGACAGTATAATCCAGCACTACATATAAAATATTTCCACTTATTGTTTTGCAATGCACATCATTAGTCAGAGTATTCAAATTTCATTAAAGAGTAAAGTCTTGTTAAACACTTGATACAATTTTTGTTTAATGATGCATAAGATTCTTAAAAACATGAATGTAAATTAAGTAATTTGATTAACATGAAATATCCTATATTATTTGAGGCAGGAATATTGTAGGCAGTGCTGCATACTGCTGATTCTTAAACCTGTACTGTCAGAGCTCTATGTATTTACTACTATATTTTTCATCTTTCCTTAAAGGGAAATCAAATACGCAGCTTTCTTGGGTTCCTGACATTATTTTCTGTAATAAGCTTTGTACATTCTCCCATTGGAAAAGCAGTTGGTTGTAATCAGATCAATTTGCAAAAATGGAAAAGAATTATCCAACCTCATGGCCTTAGGTAATATATATATACACACACACACACATATATATTTATTTATTTCAAACTGAGCTCATTAGCAAAGAGACAGCATAAAGAACCTTGAGGCTTCAGGCCTAAAGTGTATAAACTGAAACAAATCTTACCAAACTTTATTCTCTGAAATGTGTAAATTAGTCATGATTTGGCATTTATACTGAAGGCCCCTATAGTAAGATTACACTTATAGAAAAAAGAATCAAAATATTTTGCTTATTGATAAAACAAACAAACATAAAGCCTTCTTCTTAGCAAATAGGATAGTACAGTTATGGAAGAAGGCCCAGTATCTTACAAAGTTACCAAAAACCTGAATCATATGTGTATGAAGAGGAAACTGCAATACATTTGGTGATCAAATAAACAGCAAAAAATGGAGTTCAGGAAACAACCTATTAATGGGAATATGTGTATTGGAGCAAAAGAAAAATACTCATGATCACTGTCAGGAAAACAAAGAGGAATAATTGTCAAAAACCAAAAAGTGAAATAACAGCATAAAATAAATCAGCACAAAGAAATGGAATTAATTATATGAATTAAAGAGGAGGCAGAGAATAATTTAATTATTTAAAGACAGGGTCTCACTCTTTAGCCCTTGCTGGTCTGGAATTTACTATATAGACTAAGGTGTTCTTGAATTCATAAATATCCAACCGTCTTCCATGAGGTGGGACTAAAGACTTGAACCACCATGCTCAGGATTCATTGCACAACCTGAATTTGTCCTAAGTCATAATCCATTCTTGATAAATTCATTGGCAGTTCTTGGTAAGGAAAAGAAATGAAAAGCAGAAGATACCAAGACCTCAAAACAATAAAAATAAATAATAATCTATTAACAAATAAGCAAAGAGTGGAAGAGAACAGTCTCAAAAGAATTACTTGCCCAAAATAACATACAGAAATGTGCCAAATCTGGAATCATAAAGAAATCCAAATCTAAGTGGCACTAAAGTTCCAGCACTTTCTAGTTAGAAGGTCAATTCCGTAAGTGTCAAACATTATGAAACTCCAGAGATAACAGAGTAAGAGGAAGAGTGTAGTCTCACTGCTGAGAGAATCCTGTTTCATGAAGCCACAATGTAAATCAGCATGGAACTTCCTAAAATCATGTAAAAATGATACAGCACACTCTCGAATATAGCTTCTGTATGGAATAATTTTATAACAAGCTGAAATATATTCTTATAACATTCTGGTGCTTTTTATAATCCCTATGTCATGGATAAAGAAAATATGTAGAGCATGTACTGAAAAGATTGATAAGGAATGAAAACACATCATAAATATAAATATATGTATTAATAGAACAGAAAAAGTTAACAGGAAACATGAAAACTATAAGAAAAACTAACAAAATGATAATAATATGTTCTTTGCTTTCAGTGATTTCTTAAAATATCAATGGAAAATATTCCATAAGCAAGAGGCATAAATATGCTTCCAGAATCTAGAAAAAAAGAAAAAGATTACATTATATTCTCTAGAAAGAATTCACATCAAAACTAATGACAAAAATGATTGAGAATGTAGGAATTTTAAAAAGATATCCCACAAATATGAACAGTAAGAAGGAGCTGGGGTGGACATATCAGGCAATTCAAGGAAAAGTTATCAAAATTAAAATAAAGGATATTAACTAATGGTAAAATGATTCATTCACTAGAAAGTTATTTTACAAGTAGGAACACATTTCAGTAATAGCTTTCAAATACATTAAGCAATAAATAAAATAATTGGAAGTAGAAAATACATGATACTAGAATACTTCAGTGTTAAGATTGTATGATAAAGACAGAATATTAATAAAGAAAAGATCACATGACACAAGAAAACCCAACTATCCCTAATAGCCCTACAGAGAGTGATCTATACAATAGTCAAAGGACTCAGTCTTCTCAAAATTTAAGAAACATTCTACATGGTGTATCATGTCTTACTACTTGAATGATTCTTAAAAATTAAAGATCAGTATGTACAAATTCTCTTTTATGGCATAACGTGAATACAGACCTCAACAGCAGAATCCATGATTGACTTGTGTAAATTGGCACAATGTTGGCATGACCTTATTCAAATACTGGAAAAGAATACAAAGGAGGGTAATACTCTGCAAACATTCTAAGAAATGCTTGTAAATCCTACCATTTTTTGTCAGAAATAGAGAAAATAATTCTATTAAAGTGTAGAATTTCCAGAAATCACAAAGCGACTAAAAAAAAAAAAATCCTGAGACAAATCAATCCAGAGGCACCATATTTAATAACATAATAAAAGTAGAGAAACAAAAAGCTTTACCATTGGCCTGAAGGGAAATTATTTGAGATATAAATGGTATCAGAACACAATCCCACACAGGCTTAGTTAGATAAGATTTCATTTACATATTTGCATTTATGCTAACATAATTCCAGTGTAATAAGGGTCAAACTTTTTGACATTACAATAGGATAGTTCTTGAGGACATTATGGTCAGTCAGCATCTCAATAATTGTTTATATGGAAACAGAACACGTCAAAACCATTTTTAGATCTTCCTTTCTTGAGTTGAAGTTCTCACTTTGGACCTGACACATTCACTTAAACTCACCTTGCAGTTTGATTGCAGTTGTCACTCTCTTCACGATCCAGGGTATGTTTCTTTGTTCCAGACAGGTGGCCAAGTCCTAGTTTGACACAATTATACTTGTGTATTAGAAAGTGGTAATGATATGTGCTGAATTCATTGAAAAGAACCTGGGTATCTAATGCAGTGCTGATTACTACTGATTAATATCTCTAGCCCCCTCTAACAGTATCACTTGGGATGCTAAGGCCCTAGGTCAAATGCCACACTCTTTGAATAGAATGAAGAAGTAGAAAAAAATCAGAAACTTGATTCTTTCATAGTAAAAAGGAATAACAATTGTATGTAGTACCAATTTTCCAAACACTGACACATAATGTCAAATAGTCTTTGGCATTTTAATGAGAATTTGTAGGCCATTATGAAGTAAATGGAAAAAATCAACAGCACTGATGATTCTAAAGTTTTCTAAAAGTATATGCAACCCCAGCACAGGAAGTAACAATTTTGGAAGTTTCAGAAATTGTTGTGTTACTCAAGTGTTCTAAAAAAATTGAGTGAAGTCCAAAGACACATCAAATAATATTTAAATTCCATATAAACACAGATGCATAAATGTACTAAGTGCAGAGACAGAGGAGAATGATGGCCTGTGAGTAAAATAAATATATTAAACTGTGTGCTATTGTTTCCATTCATTGCTATTTAAATACAACATTGATCAAAAAATGGCTGAAAATAAAATTTGAGCTATTGGTTATGAATCTCGTAACCTTAAATTTTTTGTTTTCTTTAGTACTTGGATTGTATTATCTAAGAGGATTGGAGAGAAATCTATACCAAGAGCCAACAAACATAAGCACACCTTATCACTGCTATGAGGTTAAGGGACAAGAGAGAAACAAACTACAATCTGAGGCTACTCTAAGAAACATCAGTGTTATGACAAGATCGTCACATAAGCTTCCTGTACTCCACACATCATAATGTGATTAAATGCTTAGTATAATGAGTTAAGAGAGCATATCTCCTCTAATTTTACATTTCCATAAATTCTAGCAATGACTCCCATGTCTTGCATTGTGCATGTTTACAAGGCTGGTAAAGGACCCTAATGTATCCCTCAGATGCAAACTTCACTACACTTTGAGTCTTTACTCCCTAAAATATAAAAATGACAGTCCATCCACTTAAGCATTGGGTATCAGCATATTTCTTTGTTTACTGGTCACAGTGGGAACATTTTCAGAATTATAGCTCATAAATTCATGGAGAACACTTGTCCTCACAAAAATAATCTTCTGGGAGATAGAATGTGTGCTATTTAGAAGACATGGATTTAAAGAGTTAATTTTGACTATCATAAGAAGAAAATAATTTAAGGATCCCCTTTAGATAACATTATCTGAAGCAGAGAGTTAAAGGCTTGCAAGGTCTTCATGCATAGCATTTCTATAAGAAGAGTTGAGAGGAAACTTACCTGGGATGCTTTTACTGGAGAATCAGCCAACCCCCCCTCTGCTTCTTCTCTGAGTTTCTGTCTCAGGAACAATGACCAGAAGGAACTCTTGCCTTTTTATAATGAAGGTGTTAAAAATACAAACACAAATGAATACCAAACTCTTTTAAGGAACAATGTGAACCTACATACCAATGGGACAGACAACAGAATACTGCGAGATGACCTGTAAGTACACTTAAACCCAATACACAGGGAACAATATATTAAAATGCTCCAAAAGAAAGTAACTGTCAACCATAGTGTTCTATTCAGGAAAAATGTCTCTTAAAATTCACAGAGATAAAAGTGCATTGCAGGAAATGCATGAATTAACACAATAACTTTCATTCAAGGAGCACTGCAGATTATAATTAAAGGCAAACAATATACACAGCAATTAAAAAGAAATTATCCATTAGAACAAAGGAAATCACACATTTCATGTGAGGAATCAATAAATGGCTAAGTCCTGAGAATTAATCAACCATGTGCCACACACACCACCAATTCTAACAGGAATGAAAGAATACTGTCAATAATCGAACATTCAGAACACCAAGAAAATCATAGGGAATAAAAACACTATGGAACGTTGGGTGCATGTCTTTAATTCCAGCACTCTGAAGGCAGAGACAGGCAGATCTCTGTGAAATAGAGGCCAGCCTGGCTTACATGGAACATTGACAAAAAAAA